CAGTTCCCTTAGGTGTAAAGATAGTCTGTTGATATGAGATTGTTCTTGTTTCTTTAGATAGGCCTGCATTGCTGTAAATTTTCCTCTTAGGACTGCTTTCACTGCATCCCAGAGATTTTGAGTTGTTGTGTTTCCATTGTTGTTTGTCTTGAGATAGCTTTTGATTTCTTCCTTGATCTCAGTTTTGACCCACTCACTATTTAGTAGCATGTTATTCAGCCTCCGTGTATTTGTGTGCTTCCCAGGATTTCTTTTTATAATTGATTTCATTGATAACATTGTGGTCAGAGAAGATGCTTGGTATGATTTTAATCTTCTTAAATTTATTGAGACTGGTTTTGTGTCCTAACATGTGGTCTGTCTAGGAAAATGTTCCATGTGCACTTGAGAAGAATGTATATTCTGTTGCTTTAGGGTGGAATGCTCTAAAAATATCAATTAAATCCAGCTGGTCTAAAGTGTCATTTAAGGCCACTGTTTCTGTGTTGATTTTCTGTCTGGAGGATCTGTCCATTGATGACAATGGGGTGTTGAAGTCCCCTACTACGATAGTGTTACTATTGATCTCTGTCTTTATGTCTGTCAAAATCTGTTTTATATATTTAGGAGCTCTTATGTTGGGTGCATAGATGTTCTCTAGGGTTATGCCCTTTTGTTGAATCAATCTTTTTATTATTATATAGTGTCCTTCTTTGTCTTTTATTGTAGTCTTCATTTTAAGGTCTATTGTATCTGAAAGAAGTATTGCTACTCCAGCTTTTTTCTCATTTCCATTTGTGTGAAATATCTTATTCCATCCCTTTACTTTCAGTCTGTGTGTGACTTTTGATCTGAGATGAGTCTCTTATAAACAGCATACGCATGGGTCCTGTTTTCTTATCCACTCAGCCACTCTATGTCTTTTGATTGGAGCATTTAGCCCATTCACAATTAAAGTGATTATTGATAGGTGCACATTTATTGCCATTTTGTTATTTGTATTTCTGATCTTCCTGGGTTAGCTTGTTTTCCCCTTTCTTCTGTTTAAAAAAGCCCTTTTAACATTTCCTGCAATGCTGGCTTAGTGGTAATGAATTCCTTAAGCTTATTCTTTTCTGAGAAGCTCTTTATCTCTCCTTCAATTTTAAGTGATAGCCATGCTGGGTAGAGCAATCTTGGTTGTATGCCTTTGTTTTGCGTCACTTTGAATATTTCCTGCCACTCCCTTCTGGCCTGCAGAGTTTGTGTAGAAAAGTCAGCTGTTAGTCTTATAGGAGTTCCTTTGTATGTAACCTGCTGTCTTTCTCTTGCTGCTTTTAGGAGCCTGTCTTTGTCTTTAACCTTTGCCATTTTTACTATGATGTGTCTTGGTGTGGACCTGTTTGGGTTCAGCTTGTTTGGAATTCTCTGCACTTCCTGGGCTTGTATGTCGATTTCCTTCACCAGGGTAGGGAAGTTTTCAGTCATTATTTCTTCAAATACATTCTCGATCCCTTGCTTCTTCTCTTGTCCTTCTGGTATTCCTATGATGCGAATGTTGTTGCACTTGATGTTGTCCCACAGGTCTCTTAAACTATTTTCATTGTTTTTTATTCTCTTTTCTTTTTATTGTTCCAGCTGGTTGATTTCTACTATTTTGTCTTCTAAATCACTGATCCGATCCTCTGCTTCATCTAATCTACTATGATTCCTTCGAGTGTGTTCTTCAGTTCAGTTATTGTATTCTTTAGTTCTAACTGGTTGTTTTTTATGATTTTGCTATCCTTCTTTATGTCCTCACTAAGTTCCTTAAACATTCTTATCATCAGTGTTCTAAACTCTGTCTCTGAAAGGTTGGATACCTGTTTCATTTAGTTCCATTTCTAGAAGTTTCTTCTGATCTTTTACTTGGGACATGTTTTATGTTATTTCTTTACTTGGTTTATTAAGACATTATCCTGTATGGCACTGGCTTGTGAAATTATTATATTTCCCATGGCAAACCTGTACTATATAAATTCCCGGCAAAGACAGAAATCCCTATTTGGCTACTTCTCCAAAACAAAAGAGATGAAAACAAAAGGAAACAAAATGTTTTGTAAAATATACCCTTAATTTAAGTATAAAAACCATAAGAAAAATGTACATATCCTATATAAACAGCTCAAAATTATGTAATTAACGAAAAAATTGTCATGAAGTAAATATAGCGGTGCACTTACTACCTAGATACTGATACAGGATACCACAAGCTACTAGAAGCTCTCCGTTTTCTTGGACCTTTTAATCACTAATCACTTCCATGAATTAACTACTGTCATTACTTATAACGTCACAGATTAGTGTTTCATATTTGTATATTGGAATGAAGAAGTAATACTTCTTTGTTCTCATCTTTTCTGAAGTATTAGTTAATTCCAATGCTGTATTGTATCCAATGCTGTATCATCTGACAGTACCACGGATTATTGCTTCATAATGTTCAGTGGACATTTGGATTGTTCATTTTTTTAGGTCACTTTTACTAATGCTGATGTAAATGTTTTTGTAGATGTCTTTTGGTTTACATATTGAAACATTTCTGTTGTGCATATACCTAGAAGAGGAATTGCTTAGGAGACGGTTTATGTATGATTATGATTCCAGTATTGACTTTGAATTATTTAGAAATGTATTGCTTAATTTTAAAAATTTAGAGGTTTTTTTTCTTTTAGTTTAGGGTTTTGTTTTTGTTGTTTTTTCTTAATTCCTGACGTATTTGTAGTCTAGTCTGACAATATGCTCTTTACAATTTGTAAAATTTCAAATATTGTGTCTTGGTTTTCCTCCAACATGTATGTTCAATTCCATTAACTATTCCTTATGCTGTGAAATATACATGTTCTCCACTCTTGTTCATATCTCACATAGGTTGCACTTTAAATTTGCTTTTCAGATCTTGTATATACAAACTTATTTTGTCATATTCTTTTTATATTATAGAAAAAGTGCTTTAAAACATTCTATTATAACTACGAATTTATTTTGGTTTTTCTTTTTGTCAACTTTTTACTTTTTTTTTACTTGGGAATTTATTAATAGGTGTGTCCAATTAATAATTTGTGGTGTTTTGAAAGATTAACCTATTTATCATCATCTTTATTTTTAGTAGTGCTGCTGGTGTACGGTATCTGATACTGGTATAGCTACACCTTTCTATGGTCACTGTTGAAATAGACCTTTTTTCTTCCTTTGTATGTACAATCTTCTTGTCACATCTATTTAAGCATGGTTTCAAAATAGTATATATCTTGCCTGATGGTATTTTTAAAAAAATGATTAGTCTGTTTCCATATGCTGTAAGTACTGGCTTCTTTACTTATATTCACACAAAATCAGAGATAGCAATATTCATAACAGGCAAACATGGAAACAACCAAAATGTCCATGGACTGATAAATGGATAAATAAAATGTGCTTTATCCATATCATAGAATGTTATTCAGAAGTGCAAAGCTGGTAAGAAATTCAAAAACATTATGCTATGTGAAAGAAGCCAGTTGTAAAAGACCATATATTGTATGATTCAGTTATTATGAAATGTCCACAATGACTAAGAGAAACAGAAAGTTTATTAATGGTTGCTTGGGCATAGGGGGATGGGAAGTGACTTCTAACGTATATGAGATTTGCTTTTGCAGTGATGCAAATGTCCTAAGTTTATATTCTGGTGATGGTTTCATAGCTGTGTAAACATATTACATATATTTGGAATTTATAATTTTAACTATGAATTTTGTTATGTAAATTATATCTCATTATAAAATCTGTTAAATGTTTATAATAAAATGAAATTTTTGAGTGTAAAGAGATTATAGTTTCAGAAATCTTACATACTGAATGGAAAGAATTTATGATTTTACTTGTAGTTCATCATTGTTTCCTTCTGTGGGTTCTATTGTATATTTTAAAAATATGTCCTTTTAACTTTTACCTATGTAACATTATTTGAGGAGAAAATTATTGCAGCAGTTGGCTACCAATTAAATATATGGGGTTAAAAGTGCAACTTTGAAATCAATTGAAAAGTAGATTTAAGATTGGTTAAGTTATGTTAATATCAAAATTAGTCTCCTAAAATTGGGATGAAACTCATATTCACAATTGACAAAAGAACCTATGTATAAATACCATCCACTAAAAAAAAATTGTGATACTCACAAAGGGTCATTAATAACTGTCTTCAATGCATTGAGCAAATCTGAACTTGACATTTTGTTGAAGTCCAAACTGACAGCTGCTCCCTTGGCCTTCATACGAGCGATGTTATCAGGTTGATCCGCAAATAAAGGAATGCCCACCATGGGGATCCCGTGGTAGATCGCCTCATAGATGCCATTGGTTCCACCATGAGTTATAAAGGCTTTGGTTTTCGGATGACCTAGAATTGGTTGAATTTCAGCAAATTATTAATTATATCTTAGAATAAAATGAGAGTAGGGCAATATAAAGCACTGAAAGAGGTGGTGTATTCTAGATGACACATTATTATACACATGAAACTGCATTAGAATTTCTCCCAGTGCTCAAAGGAAGAAGCACATAAGTCAACTGGCAAAGTAAGTGAAAGATACATAGAAGATTGGTGTGTGACTTGAGACTTAAAATGAATGTAAGATTACCTGGTGGACAAATTGAAAAGAACCTACTGGGCTAAAATAAAAGAAAACAAATGCATGGGGAAAAAAGAGGGAGGGAAACATGTTAGAATATATGTTCTTAATGAAATAGTGAGGTCACCGAGTCTGATGTGTAGGGTGTCAAAGCAGCAGGAAATGTCATGATGACAACATAGGATTCAGAGGAAGGAAAAGCTGCACATTATAATGAAATATGTTATTATTTTGGAAAGAGGTTTTGAATTTTTCCTCTGGAAAAAGGAAACTTAATGGTAATAAAAGATGAGTGGACCTTTTTCAGATGCACCTGTCCACCTTCACAGTGGGTTCAAGGATTAGTGGAAGGAGAGTATCAGTGACAATCTAGAAAGTGTTGAAATATTCTCTGTGAGAGGTAATTACACATGAAATAAATATAATTCATTTCTAGTCATAAGGAATTTGAATGTGTATAATAAGATGCCATCTGTTATATCTTACCCTTTTCCCCTAGGGCTGGGAACTTTAAGGAAGTTAATTTTTGTTTTTGAGGTTTTCAATAAGAAATGTTTAATAAATTTCTTTCCTGATGAATTGTTTATCATCTAGTCAGATTGACTCTCATTTCAGTGTTTTCCAGAGTCTTACCAAGAAGGTCGTTCTGGGGGATCCATTTATAGAGCCGAGTATTTGTCCCTAAGGTGTCTGGTTTTTTGCCATCAAATTTCCATATAACCTGTTAGGGTGAAGAAAATAACTTATTCCACTAGTCAAGCTACAAATTTATAGCATGTTAGATTCTAAATAGATTAAGACACATCTAGTTAACCCCCTTACATATTACAGATAAGGAAATGAGACTGAGATGTTAGATAATGAGAATGAATACAACACTGATGTAGGAGGAATACTCACATGTACTTATTTTTGTATTCAATTGGTATGAATGCAATGATGTTTCACACTTAGGGGCTAGACATGAGATTATCAATACCATTTCAAGCATATAAAAATTTTAAGGTAGTCATTTAATTTTAGTGCAAATTGGCCCATATATTTTGTTTTAACTATTTATTTTACTAGCTCTCATCTTCCAGATTTAATGTTAACCTGTTTATTTCTTTTTGAGTGAAGAGGGAAGTGTTTACTTATATCCATTAGTTCCATAAGTTATTTTATTAGCTTTTTACATCTTTTGATTTACAAAATCAATGCAATCAGCTATTGTGAGTGTAATTTTAAATATTAACACTATATATAATAAATACTTCCCGCTTAATAAGGATGCTTAGCTTCTTTTAGTTTACTAATTATTAATCATTGCTTCTAAGAAAAATCAAGTGGTAATTTTGCATAGATATAGTGTTATCACTGAAAATTCTTAAAATATTGAAAAGAGCACATTGACACTTTATAAAGAAAAGTATAGCTGTGGAAAAACATCAAATATGAGGATGCTGAATTTTATTTAACCAACTGTTAACACTTCATGATGTGCTACAGAGCACTGGCAGCATTTATTAATATGGTTACTTATTAATCATAACTGGCCAAGCCATTTCCAAGCTCAGTAGCAAAATTATGTCCAGATTTTGGAATTCCCAAGCAATCCTCAAAAGCTGGATTTTAGTTTAGAAGTGGTTAACGTCTATTTGCTGTGTGAGTGTTCATGTAACGTCAGGTTCTCTGCAAACTAGCATGGGTGGGTGATACAGAGAACTACATCATTTAGGAAGTGAAAAAGTCATTCCCAAATACCCAGAGAGTGCAATTTTATTTATTAGAAATAATTTACTACCATGTTTTATGAAGGGGGCATCTGAAACTGTCCCATACTAGGCTCGCTTTTGGTTGATTTTATTTTATATTTATTTCTGTTTCATCAGTCAGGGGGAGTTATTCCAATTGATTAGAAGCTGCGTTGTGGGGCCACATTTTATAAAGCACATGGTCACCTTAAAGGTTGGACCCACCTCCACCTTTTCCTTTATGTCCTCTTGCTTCAAACTTTAGCAGGGCCCAGCCCACCAGGCAGGTTTTCTCTTTCTTTCGTACAGGCCAGTTTTTCTCTTTATCTAAATCGTCATGGCTGGTTTGGACACCTGGGTGAAGCTTGGTGAGCCTTGGACACCCTTTCTTTGAATAGCACCCTGAAAAACACAGGGCATAGGCCTATTCCAAATTTCAGGGGAAGCAAGAGAGGCCTAGATGTCCGGTACTAGGCATCTGACTGTTACCAATTCCTATTTAGTGTTACTATTAAAATTTAACTCCCTTCTGAGAACTTCCGTAGACTCTACAATGCACTCAGGAATCCTGCAAGGAAAAGGGACAAATGACAGGACAGAATTTGGTGATATGTGTACCTAGCTCGAATACCATTATAATACCAAACTTCACACTGTAACTCTTAAATACACTTTGTCATCACAGTTTTAATGCCAAGGTTATTGTCAATCAAAAACATCCTCTGTGTTTTTGTAGCACCTGCCGTGTATACGTATTTTGGTTTTAAATTGCTCTCTGAGATGAATTGGGGCTATCATAGTAGTTTCCCTTTCATGAAAAACATTTCTGTAATCATACCCTGTACAAAGTTTAACACACTCATTAAATAGTTTTGTGCTTCATCTAACCTTTTGTGGAATCTGGGCAAGAGCTGATGCAATCACATTGGTCATTTCTTCAGTCATGTTACTGACCATTGACCCCAGAGTGAACACCACAATTCCATTTTCCTTAGAGCTCTGGGCAAACTCTTCCATTTCCTGTGAAGAAAGAATTTGGTCCATCATAAAGGAATATCAGTACAGTGAATACTATTGAAAGGAGTGCTACAAACAGCTAATGAGAGAAAATCAAGTATTATCAGGAATCATTAGTATAGTGCCTGTTTTTTTTTAATTATAAAATACACATAACACAAATTTACCACCTTAACCTGTTTTAAGAATATAGCTCAGTAATATTCTTATTGTTTTGTATCCCACATCTGGAAGTTTTCATCTTGCTCATTGGAACTGTATTCATTATTCTGTAATTCTCCCATTTCCCACATTCACTAGTCCCTTACAACTATCATTCTACTTTTTATTTCTATGAAGTTTAGTAGTCTTGATACCTTGCATAAGTGGAATCATACAGTATTTGTCTTTTTGTGACTGTCCTATTTCACTTAACACAATGTGCTTAAGATTCCACTAATTTATAGCATGTGGTAGAATTTCCCCAGTTTTAAGAATGAGTAATATTCTTCCACAAGATAGACAACTGGGTTCTGGAGCAACTGAAGCCTGAAATATTGCTGGAGGCAAGAATGACAAAACTGAGAGTGTCCTTTTTCAGGCACTTCATGAGAAGGCAGGGTTATTTGAAGACAATAACACTAGGATGAAAAGAAGGCTACAGGAAAGAAGAAGATCAAATACGAGATGGATTGATTCCGTCAAAGTAACTCAAGCCTATAGGCTTGAGTGTAAAGGAACTGAGCAGGGCTGTTGAAGCTAGGATTTTGTGGACATCATTCATGAGTTGTCTTTAGTTGGAGCTTTCTCAACAGCACATAACACACAATATTGCATTGTGTATAAATACCATATTTTGATTAATGATTCATTTACCAGTGGACCCTTGGATTGCTTCAGTCTTGTGGCTCTGGTGAATAGTGTTGCTATGAAGATTGGTGTGGAAATATCATCAGCATCCTAATGTTATTGTTTTGAATATACCCAGAAGTATAGTTGCAGAGCAAATGGTAATCCTGTTTTTAATTATTTGAGGAACATCCTTTCTGTTTTTATCAGTGGCTAGTTTTCACAGACCTACTCCCTCAGTTTCTTTCCTGTATACAATTTTTAGTATTATAGTTGAATTCCTCTATTATGTATATTTGTGCTAGTGTGTGTGTGTGTGTGTGTGTGTGTGTGTGTGTATATAAGAAGAAATGAAATAAGGTCAGTACATAGTATTGAAGAGGAAATGCTGGTAGACGATATTATATCTATACTCTTCATTTATAATGCTGTTAATTTCTAATATAGATTCTTGGAATGAGGCTACATAGTAGGATCTTAACTCACATGTAACTCTTTATTGTTATAGTTCTACTATATGTGTTTATTTTCTGACAGGTTTTGTGGAGAATTATTTACTTTACTCGTTAGTATTTTATTTCTTTGACTGTGAGTACTAAGAAAAAGTTTTCATTAGGATGATTTTATATCTTCCTTCTTTAGCCTCTTAATAATTTACACTTCACCTTAACCTTTGTCAGATTTCCCCAAGCTCTCCCGCTGCGTCACTTAATAAAGTTTATTGAAGTATAGTTGGCATATTATATTAGTTTCAGATGTACAGCATAGTGATTTGACTTTTATATACCTTAACCATGTGATAACTGTGATAATTCTATTAATCATAATCACTGTACAAAGTTATTACAATATTACCAACTGTATTCCCTATGCTGTACATTATATTCCAACGACTTATTTATTTTGCAATTAGAATTTTTATCGCCTATTCTTCTCATCTTATCCCCCTATCCCCCTCCTCTCTTCCTCTGGCAACATTCAGCTTGTTCTTTGTATCTACTAGTGTGTTTGTTTTTTTGTTTATTTGTTTCATTCTCTTTAGAATACATATATACGTCATACGATCTATTTGTCTTTCTCTGTCTGATTTCCCTTAGCACAATAGCTTCTAGGTCAATCATGTTTTTGGTTTGGTAAGATGTCATTTGTTTGTATTGGTGAGTAATATATATATATATATATATATATATATATATATATATATATATATATAGTGTGTGTGTGTGTGTGTGTGTGTGTAGCTTCTATTTTATCTACTTATCTATTGATGGAAACCTAGATTGCTTCCATCTCTTGGCTATTGTAAATAGTACTGCAGTAACCATGGAAGTGCATATATCTTTTCTAATTAGTGTTTTGGATTTCTTTGGATAAATACCCAGAAGTGGAATTCCTAGGCCATAAAGCAGTTGTATTTTCAATTTTTTAAGGAAACTTCAAACCGTTTTCCACAGTGTCTTTAACTGATTTGCAGCCCCAGCAGCAATACACAAGAGCTCCCTTTTCTCCACATCCTCGCCAGCATTTGCTTTTTGACTTATTGATAACCTTTTGACTGGTGTGAGGTGATATCTCACTGTGGTTTTCATTTGTGTTCCTCTGATGATTACTGATATGAAGAATCTTTTCATATGTCTGTTGGCCATGTGTATGTCTTCTTTGGAGACATGTATATTCAGGTTCTGTGCCCACTTTTTAATCGGGTTGTTTGTTTTTTAATGTTGAGTTGTAAGAATTCCATATATATTTTGGATATTAACCCCTTGTTGGAAATACATTTGCATATATCTTCTCCCATTCAGTAGTTATCTTTTCATTTAGTTTATGGTTTCCTTTGCTGAGCCAAAACTTTGTACTTTGATGTATTTCCATTTGTTTATTTTTTTGCTTTTGTTGCCTGTGCTCAAGGAGATATATCCAAAATAGAATTGCTAAGACCAATGTCAAAGAGTTTATTGCCTATGTTTTCTTCTAGGAGTTTTATTTTTTTAGGTCTTACATTTAAGACTTTAATACATTTGAGTTTACATTTGTACATGGTGTAAAAAAGTAGTCTAGTTTCATTTTTTTTCATGTATCCAGTTTTTCCAACACCACTTATTGAAGATCCTGTCAGTTTCCTATTATATTTTCTTACTTCCTTTGTCATAGATTAATTGCCCTTACAAGCAAGGGATTTTTAAATTCTGTTACTTTGACCTATGTGTCTGTTTTTATGCCTGTATTATAATGTTTTGATTACTATCTCTTTGCAGTATATTTTGAAACTGGGAACACGATACTTTCAACTTTGTTTATTCTCAAGATTTATTTTGGCTATTTGTGATCTTTTTTGGTGTCAATTAATTTTTATGATTATTTGTCCTGGTTCTGAGAAAAAAATGCCAGTAGAATTTGATAGGGATTACATTTAATCTGTAGATTGCTTTGGGCAGTGTGGACATATTAACCCTTCTTATCTAAGAGCACAATATACCGTATTTCCCCATGTATAAGACGCACCTTAATTATGGGGTCTGAAATTTGAAAAAAAATGTATTACATAAAGTTATTGAACTCAAGTTTTATTCATCATAAAATTCATACAACTCCTCATCACTGTCAAAACTCCCAACCATTAGCTTGTCCTCATATGTGTCTGATGACGAATCACTGTCTTCATATATTGCCTTGACCTCAGCGGGAAATGCAAGTAAAAAAATCTACAACCACTGTATAAGGCGCACCCAGTTTTTAGACCCCAAATTTTTCGAAAAAGGGTGCATCTTCTACATGGGGAAATATGGTATCCTTCCATTTATTTGTGTGTCTTCATTTTCTTTTGTCAATGTCTTCTAGTTTTCAACGTGCAAGTCTTTTAGCTCATTGGTTAAATTTATTTCTAGGTATGTTATTCTTTTTGATACATTATAAAAATTGTTATATATTCTTGTGAGAGTTCATTATCAGTGTATAGAAACACAACATATTTAAATATATGAATTTTTTTTCTGGAAACTTACTGAAATAATTTATTAGTTCTAATTTCTTTGGTGGAGGTTTTATGGTTTTCTATGTATAGTATCATGTTATCTGAAAATAGTGACAGTTTTATATCTTCCTTTCCAATATGATTGCCTTTGTTGTTGTTGTTGTTGTTGTTGTCATTTTCTTGTCTGATTGCTATGGCTAGGAACTGCAATACTGTGTTGAATAAAAGTGGTGATAGTGGGCATCTTTATCTTGTCCTGATCTTAGTGGAAAAGATTTTAACTTTCCACCATTGAGTATGATATTAGCTGTAGGTTATCATATATAGCCTTTATCATGTTGAAGTATGTTCTTTCTATACCCACTTTGTTGGGATTTTTTGTCCTAAATAGATATTGGAGTTTGTCAAATATTTTTTTTCTTTTTGCATCTATTGGTATGATCATATGATTTTTATCATTGGTTTTGTTGATGTTATGTATTACGTTTTTTGTGGCTATTGAACCATTCTTGTAGCACCAAAACAAATCCCACTTGAGCATGATGCATAATCCTTTTAATATATTGTTGGATTTGATTTGCTAATATTTTGTTGAGCATATTTCCATCTATGTTCATGAAGGATATAGGCTTATACTTTTCTTCTTTTATAGTGTCTTGTCTGGTTTTGCTATCAGGATAATGCTGGCTGCCTTCTTAGAATGATTTTGGGAGTGTTATTTCCTTTTCAATTATTTGGGAACATTTTGAGAGGGATAAGTATTAATTGTTTGGTAGAACTAAAAGTTTGTTGACTTCACCTGTGAAATAATGTGGTCTTGGGATTTTGTTTGTTGGGAGTTTTTTTCATTACTGCTTCAATTTCCTTGCTAGTAATCGATCTGTTCAGATTTTTTGCTTATTCCTGGTTCAGTCTTGGAAAGTTGTATGTTTCTTGAAATTTATTCGTTCCAGGTTGTCCCGTATGTTGGCATAAAATTGTTCATAGTATTCTTTTATGTTGCTTTATATTTCTATGGTGTTGGTTGTAACTTCTCTTTTGTCATTTATGATTTTATTTATTTGGGCTCCCTCTGTTTTCTTGATGAGTCTGGCTAAAGTTTTATGCATTTTGTTTATCTTTTCAAAAAGCAACTCTTACTTTCATTGGTCTTTTCTATTTGATTTTTAGTCTACTTATTTTCACTCTGATTTTTGTTATTTTT